AAAGCGTTGTAATGCATTAAAATATTGGACTATCGTCCTGTAAATTAGTCTATATGGATCTGATTTACATGTAGGAACTCAAAATTATATATATATATATATATATATATAAATCCATGCTTAATAATTTTGACCGTGGGGTAATTGGTTTAAATATATATGTAGATAACAAAGGGTACAATTTGCGGAATATATTAACTTAGTCCGACTTCAATTCGTTGCGTCCAAGCGGTACGGAAAATCACAGTTATTCCCTCATAATTGGACTATAGTTTTATAAATCAAATTTACCTAATCTGATGTACATGTAAAATAAGATTTTTATCAAACGTTTATATGTGACAGGTTGCACTATGTGCCGAAAGAGCCAACCCATGTCAATGTAGATGATATTAATCGAATACGCATTAATTGTTTGAGTCAATTAGTAGGAAACCCAAATACTAATTTGTTTAATTATTTCACGTGATAAAAAAACCGGACAATGTGAAAACAGAAAACAAAACGAGCTAAACAAGCATTAACATAATTTATCTACACTATTTCTTGACCTAGACAATTGGGTGACACAAAATTATTTTTTCTTAAGATTTAGTTTTATTTAGGATTCAAGTTGGTATAGGTAATGGATAAAAATAATATTATAATATATGTATTATATTCCCATTAAAAAAGTAAGAAAATACAAATGTAATTGTTTTTAATTTAATTCTGATCGACAATATATACTCTGAATCGTTCAAGGTATTGCAAACGGAATAACAAATTTTATATACACACCATCTTATGGCGGAGGGGAAAATAAGCAATGTTGCACACTGTTCAATAAAACATATGTTATTGAAAAATTCCGAAAGAGAATATTTCCATTTGAAATTTTATAGCTAAATCCATGAAATATTAGAATAATACCTGTCATGACTAAACACACAAGGTATTTATTATTCATGTATTGTATGAATGTCCAGATTTTTTCTTAATAAAATTATAAAAATGATTTTCCGTCAAAGAGATAGTTCAAAATCATATTCGAAGTTAAATTGTTTTTTAATGGCAGGCGGATTTTGTTGCCTTTTATTTTCCTCTTGTTTACGTTTTCTCTTCATTACGCTTTCATTACTTTGTTATTTACATTTGAAATTTTCGGAATAATTTAATTTTTTATACCCTCCACCATAGTATATTAATTTTGTTTTTCCGTTTGTAACTCATCGAAATAAGCATTTCCGACCCTATAGTATATATATTCTTGATCAGCGTAAAATTCTTTAACGATATAGCCATGTCCGTCTGTCCGTCTGTTGTAATCACTCTAGCGTCTAAACGAGTTGAGATAGATCGCCAAAATTTTGCGTACAGGCGTCTTTTGTCTGCAGGCAGGTCAAGTTCCCCCCATATAACGGTACCCCTCAATTTTCGGTATTCTGAAGTTCTTGAGCGCGTTTTTTAACCGAATTCGCTAAAATTTGCTACATTGGGTTCTTATTGGGTACTAAATGTCTCCACAGAAAATTATAAATATAGGTCCACTTTTTCTGGTTGCCCCCATATAACGGTACATCCTAATTTTCAATATTTTGGGGATTTTGATCGTATTTTTCTACCGAATTAGCTGTAATTTAGTATTTTGAGTTCCCAAAGTAGGTCCCAAATCTCTCCACAAAAAATTATAAATATGGGTCCATTTTTTCGGATAGCCCCCATATAAGGGTACCCCCAATTTTCGGTATTTTGGGGTTCTTGAACGCGTTATTCAACCGAATTTGCTGCAAATTGGTATTTTGTAGTCGTATATGGCACCAAATCTCCCTACCAAAAATTATTAATACTCGCCCCCATTTTAGGGTAGTCCCCATATAACCCCCTTTTTATACCCTCCACCATAGTATAGAGGGTATATTAATTTTGTTTTTCCGTTTGTAACTCATCGAAATAATCATTTCCGACCCTATAAAGTATATATATTCTTGATCAGCGTAAAATTCTATGACGATATAGCCATGTCGGTTTGTCTGTCTGTCTGTCCGTCTGTCTGTTGTAATCACTCTAGCGTCTAAACGAATGGAGATAGATCGCCAAAATTTTGCATAGAGTCGACTTTTGTCTGCAGGCAGGTCAAGTTCGAAGATGGTCTTTATCGGTCCACGTTTAGGCATAGCTCCCATATAAGGGTACCCTCCTTGGGTTCTTATTGGGTACCAATTTTTCCCACTAAAAATTATAAATATAGGTCCACTTTTTCTGGTAGCCCCCATTAAGGGTACCTCCCGATTTCCAGTTTTTGGGGGGTTTTGACCGGATTTTTTCAGCGAATTGGCTGTAATTTAGTGATTTGAGTTCTTATTGGGTAGCAAATCTCTCCACAAAAAATTATAAATATTGGTCAATTTTTTCCGGTAGCCCCTATATAAGGGTACCCCCCAATTTTCGGTATTTTAAGGTTCTTGAGCCCGTTTTTCAACCGAATTCGCTGAAATTTGGTATTTTGTAGTCGTTTATGGTAGCAAATCTCCCCACCAAAAAATTATTAATATTCACCCCTTTTTAGGGGTAGTCCCCATATAACCCCCTTTTTTATATTAAAATAGTTATCTGATTTGTTCCGTGTGTTGGAGTTGGGTAGTCGTTACGGGGAATAGTCAATTTTTACCCTACAAAGACTATTTAGCCATCTGTTGTAAGCATTCCGCCTTCTAAAGATATGGTGATGAAAGAAAACTCAAACATGACGATAATGAAATATATCGGCAGACATTTAGGCATCTCCTCAATATAGTGATACCTCCTGAAGGAAAGGATTGAGATAAACAATTTAAATATTGGGTTTAAAATTGGCATATGCCGGTCATTAATTAAGCATAGCCCTCATATAATGGTATCCCCAAATATTCACTATTTCCTACACTATGTAATCAATATTGGTCCCCCTTTAGGCATACCCTCATATAACTTTGTAATCTAAATTACAGTAGTTTGAGGATTTTATACTCTACCATGCGTTATCAGTATCAGTCCACTTTTTGGATCTTGCAGATTTTAGGAAAAATCCCCATTAAAAATTGCTGAAGTTTGTATTTGGTGTATATAATGGTTTACATAAATCGGTTTGTAGAATTATCGGTATATACCCACTTTTTGGTATGTTCCCTATATTTTCATTACATGTATCTGTCAGTATAACTATGGTGGAGGGTATCCAAAGTTCGGCCCGGCCGAACTTAACGCTTTTTCACTTGTTTTTTAATTAAAATGATTTAATAAACGGTGACTAAACTAAGAACAATATATGAGGGGAGAAACGGTGATCGCTATCAAAAATCTCTAAAATAAGGAAAGTAACAATTTGTACCAGATTACCCTATAGTACGATGACCTATATATATGTATATATATACATATAAAATTCTCAAACTGCCGCTTTCAAAATCCCTAAATTATGTAATAAAGAAGGCCCGTTTACATTGGGCCTAATGCGAAACATAAGTCAATATATATAGTTTTTATATTCTCAGCCTCATGGCTAATGAGGGTATATACACTTTGATGCGGTGAAAATGTGCCTCATCGAATTGTTGATTTTAGACCCCATGTTTCTTTCACCAAATCCGATTAAGAAAATTTGGAGTCCATTTACAATTGTCCGCCCGTCCATCTGGCCGGCTCGTGCGCACGATACTCGTAATTCTCGAAGGGAACAACCGATTTCATCCAAATCGATCCCTAATAGTGGACCAAAAATTTATCATTTTTTGTAAGAATGTGTGCTAACACAAAATATTAAATTACAGCTAATTTGGTTGAAAGTGAGACAAATATCTTCAAATTCTATCATCAGCATGCTACGCTAGTAAAATTCATATGTGAAGAGTTTGATTAATCATTGCCATAAAATCGAAATAAAATAAATATATTGATGTTATGTCTAATTCTGAATCGATTTCAACAAAATCTAACACACGCCATTATAAACACAATTTAGGAGGCTATGGAAAACTCGATCTATGTCGATCGGTCAAATATTGTGAGTTTGGAGCAACATCTACAAGAAGTCGGTCGAAGTTATATGAGGGAATAAAACGGAATTGATTTCTACCAAACTTACAAACACCATTCAAATCTCCATTGTACAAATGTTGTGAGTATGTGGCAAAATTTACATAAAAATGGGACGAAAATGTATAAGGGAGCTGTATCTAAATTCTTTATATCGACTCAGAAAGTAATTCTATGCATATTATTGATTTCTTTTCCTGCATATGCCAAAAGACATAATAGCCTGTATCACAGTAGGGTATGAAGATAAACTGAACCTTAAGAATTTGTAAACGAAATTGTAAATTAACTCGATGGAAAATTGCTCGTCATAAAAACAAATTAATTTTAAAATAAGTATACCTACACACAAACAGACGGACAATTCAATTTTCTTCTACTTTCAAGAGAATGTCTTGCAACGGGTGATGAAAAGCTAATGCTAGCCAATGGAGAAGTGCACAACGCCAATTACGAGCTCGCCAAAGTCTAGCGGACTATACGAACAAAAACAAAACAAGAAGCAGAACTGGCAAGCTGTTTTTGTTATCGCAATTTCAGCAGCTACTAAAATATCAACGAGAAAATATCGCACATACGCTACGATGAATTTCATTTCAATGTGTAAAAAGCAAACGGCATTTAGCGCCTGCTAAGAGCGGACGTTACCTCGGTCAACGCGGCATTTGAACAGACGAACTTAAATAGAACAAAATACAATTTACGAAATAATAGAAATCCATTAAAATAACAACGGCATTCACATTAATGTACCTTGGCATTGTGTTATCCTGTCGCCTATACTCGTCAGGATTACTATTGTGAAACGTGTTCGTCCAACTAACAATAAGTTTTTCGTGATAACAGCAAGTGTGTGTGTGTGTGACAACAAACATTTCATCCTTTGATGAAATAACTTTCAATACATTTTCCTTGGTATTCTTGGCAAGGAGCAACGGAAGAAAACTCCATCATCGAATAGTGTCATCGTAACGGAGAAAATGCATTCGACTGTCACTAAGCAGACGGGCTTTGTCGCCCTAATGATTGTTCAAATAGTCTTCTTGGTACTTTTCTGGGTGTTCGTGCGTTATGGCAAGGAAGCATCGCCAATCGATAAGAATTCTCAAGACTCTGGATTAAATGAAGAACACGAATCGAAATATCCCCGTGAGTATTGATTTGAGTATTTTAAAGTGTATGTACAATATGTCATGGAAATGTTTTCGAAATGGGATATGTTTTTATTTTTTTTTTTATTTAACTAATGTGTCAATATAAAAAAATATAACTATAGATAATTGTTAGAATCGGCACACACCTGTTTACCACAAATAAGTAAAACGTCTTTAAGTTCGGAATGATTTTTTTATAGCCTTCTCTAATTGGTGGATAAAATCGGCCTTGTGGAAGTATGGTAAATATTTGATAGAACCAATGAAAAACAAAAATATCAATTCGATTGAAAAACGTGCTCAAAAGATTTTATAGAGGGAGAACCCAAAATACAAATTACAAATAATTCGTTTAATCAACGTACCAAAACTCTACTGACCTGGTCTTATACCTCCCATTTCAATTTTAAGTATAGCATGTGCAAACTTTTAAAGATCTGAAAATTTTAGTAGAAATCGGTTCAGATTCAGTTATAGCTCCCAAAAATATTTTCGTCCAATTTTATTTAAATCGTATGTGGAGAGTTTGATTAGTCAATGCCATAAAATCGAAATAAAATAAATATATTGATGTTATGTCTAATTTTAAACCGATTTCAATAAAACTTAACACACACCATTCAATTCAGGAGGCTATGTAGAACTCTATCTATGTCAAACGGTTAAACATTGTGAGTTTGGATCAAATAACCTATTTTTGTGCAATTTACATGATATTTTACATTGCGTATTAAATGGAGTATATAATGACTTATGCTAGATTTTGTTAGAATCGGTTCCGATTTTGGTAAAACTTCCAAAGCTGATTTCATCTCAATGGAACATTATTAAACCCAAAAATTGTTTGATGATAATGAAATTTTGACCTGGATGGCTAAGTGAGTCTAAAATTGCAGCTAATTAAATTTCATTTAAATCGATTCATATTTGGATACATCCTTCATAAATATTTTCGTTCAATTTCATGAAATGATTTTAGAATGACATGATAATGGATATTCTTCCAAATAAGTCAAACCTCAATAATCAGTACTCTTTGTCGGATTAGCTCGCTTCTGGTCTTTGGGTAAATAGAAACTTCTAAATTGCCCTCTGATTTATATCCTCACCAGCTTCAATTAAATCAGCAGCCAATGACGAAATGTAATGCACCGGCACCCAAATACTCCTCACCTTCAATGACATCCAGAGCCAAGCGGGTAAATACACTCAGTAAAAGACATGCCAACTTCGTATGCATTTTAGGGTCCAATATAATGAGAACATGTTGCAGACATTCACCCAAAGCGTCACGAAACTGCATTTGCCAACAGGCGCTGTGATCTTTCCATTTACCCAATGTTAGTATATTTCTTTTGTTTATAAGCAAAGTGGTGAAGTCGGCTCCGTCGAACTTTTGAACTTTACTTACTGGGTGTTGGTATATTGAAGTTCCTACCCCAGATTTCCAAAAAGAGTGTCTGTGTTTTTCCAGAGCATGTAAAACCTACTACCACATAACTCTGTCACCATTCCCGATTCCGAACGATTTAGGTATTTTTGAATGGGCTCCACGTGTTGGAGGATATTACAAAATTCGGTCCGGCCGAGAGTAATGACGTTTTTGAGATAACATATCTTCAGTCAAATGAGGAATATTTTTATACCCTACACAACTATGTTGTCAGGGTATTATAGCTTTGTGCAGCCCCAAAAGTTTGTAACGCCGCGAAATATTGGTCCTAGACCCACCTTTAAGTATACCGATCGTCATATCTCGACTAGCTGAGTCGATCTAGACATGTGTATCCGTCCGTCCGTCTGTCCATTATAATTTGTAAACACGATACAGGCCACAGTTATGGACCAACCTTCACGAAATTTTGAAGGATGGGTTCTGGCCAATGAAGACCCCTATTGTTTTTGGTAAAGATCGGTTAATATTTAGGGGATGAAATGGAACAAATTCTAAATTTTTGTTGGTTTTTCTGGTCGCATGGAGAAGGGGATCGGGCCAAAGAATAAGCATGCCTGTTTTTATAAAGATCGGTCAATATTTAGCGGGTCAAATGTGTGAAAAATTACAAAATTTGTATTCTATAGCGTATGTATTTACCCCTGAAGGACATAGACCCGAGAAGTTGATATTATATCCAAGAGGAGTGGTTGACCTTTAAATTAATACCAATTATTTTGTTGTATGTTCTCGGATGTGGGAGTTACACCTAAATATTTACAGATATATCCGTATTCGTATATTATTTAGTAACCCATTATCACTCTAGAGAGGGAACTATAGCGCTGATCGCTTTGAAATGTTCCATGAGGTTCCAGTTATGGTCAAGGACAACGCCTACAATTTTCGGTGTTGATCAGATTATAATTTTGGAATGAAGTGGACCGAAAACTTATTTTTTTGTGTTATTTTCGAGTCGTTCTATAGACCACAACACAACCCACGGTGAAGGGAATCTGGACAATGGCTGTACTGAATACTCGTAATATTCGGAAAATATGTCAGTGTGAGGAAGAGGTGCTGTTTATCTCTAATCGGGCAAGAGGGTGAAAATATCACGAAATATCGCCCGGGCTCGGAATAAACATCCGCAGACAATTTGAGTTCCGTGGTAGTTGTGTAGGGTATCGCATGGTCGGCCCCGTCCGACTATACTGCTCCGCTCACTGCATTTTTTTATAAAATGTACTCTCCCTGATATCTGATATGTTCTTGTTCCGAAAACTTTTACTTGACAAACTGTGTATTACATTGTTGCGGTGCACATGTGTTTTATATACATTTTATCATAAAACTGAATACCGAAAGAACCTGAGTAGTTAAAAGCAAACTACGATAACTACCATTTATACAATATTGCATTTGGATAGCCATACCTGAGTTAGGTTAGGTGGAATCTGAACATAAAGCTATGGCAATTTTATTTCAAACAATACCAATTAAACATCGAATTAATTCGGATGTGATGAGATACGTAGATACCCATGCCCACCTCAAGCCTGATATTTTGAAGGACCTCAATATTTACACGTATAAAACTTAAAATTACAAAAAAGTCGGATGGGGCCTTGTAGAAAAATAGGCAGATGATCGCCTTCCAAAATCAATTCAATATATTTATCAGTTACAAAGCTGCAATTTAGGTAGCTGTCACTTTTGAAACTTTTATTGTTTGACATTTGATAAGTATTAAAAACAACACCAACAGACAACGGCGAATATCATCATTTCGAATAGTTGTTTATTTCCGCTATATTTTCACCCAAATGGTGTGTAAATTTCTCAAAGAAATATGCTATAAAATCGTTTCCCAAGGAAATGACAGTCAATTGAATAAATCATTTTGTGGCGATTGTATTTTTCGAATTCAATTGAATTGTTTGCAACTTTTTTTTATTTATTTCTCCATGTGACTTGGTGGAAACGCAAATTTATTTTTTTCTTTATGTTTTGTTTGAAATTTTCCGTTTTCCGATTTAGTTTCATTTTCATTGATTCAGTTCAAAATCGTTAGCAATTTGTTTTTTTTTTTTTTAATAGACCAGCGATCAGCAATCAGATATAGACTGATTTAATATTAAACATCTAATGAATTAATTTAATTAACAGTCTATTTCTTTGAAATTCAAAGCGAATGAATGAGAGTGATGCGAGAGGTGTTACCAAAAATTCGTATTTGTATCTTTAGTAATAAAAAGTGATTTTTTTGTGAGCTATAGGAAAGTTTTTCTTTCGACAAAAGCAAACAAACACCAAGAAAATTCACAAAATCTTTGTTTGACTCCATACATTGTTTGAAGGATATTTCTTTCTAATGTTGTCCGCGACAGCCCATAAAAAGTGAATGTTCGCCAACTTTCCAAGAGCATATTTACCAAAAATTCTGCACGCATTTAGAAATAAAATTCAATGATTTGCAAGCAGTAGATTTTGGCTGTTAAATCTCAACCAATTCACTATGGGCCAGGGATCCTTTTTATACCCTTCACCACACTGTGGTACAGGGTATTATGTCTTTGTGCATATATTTGTAACAGGCAAAAGAAAACGAGATAGACACATGGTTCCTTTTGAGAATATTCATAGAATCACTTTTTAAGTTAAATTGTAAACAAAGTACAGGTCGCATTTATTATCCGATTTGGATGAAATTTGGCACAGCTCACTTATTTTGACCAAGGACAAACCCTATTGAAATTGGGAAAATCGGTTCAGATTTTGATATAGCTCCCATATATATTTTCGTCCGATTTAAGGTAAATGGGGCAACAAAGTCCCTATATATGCGATTTGCACGAAATTGGGCATAGCGTACTGAATTAGTTCTAGAATAATGTGTGCCAATTTTCAAGAAAATCGGTTTAGATTTAGATATAGCTCCCATATATAGTTTCGTAAATGGTGCACCAAAAGTCCCTATATATCATTAGATTTGCACGAAATTTGGCATAGGGTACTGACTTAGGTCCAGAATGATGTGTGCTAAGTTTCCTGAAAATCGGTCCAGATTTAGATATAGCTCCTATATATATTTTCGTCCGATTTAAGGTAAATGGTGTACCAAAGTACCTATATATCTTTCGATTTGTACGAAATTAGGCACAGCGTACTAAATTAGGTCTAGAATGATGTGTGTCAAGTTTCCTGAAAATCGGTTAAGATTTGGATATAGCTCCCATATACATTTTCGTCCGATTTAGGGTAAATGGTGTACCAAAGTCCCTATATATCTTTCGATTTGCACGAAATTTGGCACAGCGTAATGAATTAGGTCTACAATGATGTGTGTCAAGTTTCCTGAAATTAGATTCAGATTTGGATGTAGCTTTCATATATATTTTCGTCCGATTTAAGGTAAAAGGTGTACCAAAGTCTCTATATATACTTCCAGGTAAATAGTGCACCAAAATCCCTTTATATGCTTCGATTTGAACAAAATTTGGCTTAGTGTACTAAATTGAGTCTAGAATGATGAGTGGTGTGTTTCGGGAAAATCGGTT